CTATTTATCTACTTTCACTTGCGTGCTTTCGAACTGCTAGTTTGGCAGGAGCTGGGACAGAGCAACGGGAGCTCACCCCATCACAGGGATTCGAACCGCTGACCTTCCGATCGGCAAGCCCAAGAGAAGAAGAAGATATCCCGCTTAAGGAGTCTCAAAGCGGCCAACATTCTCCTTTCCCTTCCTCCCCCACAACAAACACTCTGTGAGGTGAGTGAGGCTGAGAGACTTCAGAGAAGTGTGACCAGCCCAAGGTCACCCAGCAGCTGCATGTGGAGGAGTGGGGAAGCAAACCCGGTTCACCAGATTACGAGTCCACCACTCTTAACCACTACACCACGCTGGCTCAGTGGTTTAGACCACAGCGCCACCTGCGTCCCTTTTATAACCCTAATGGAGCTTAATCCAAGACCGAGGTTGTTTACAATCACCACTAGAAGATGTCCATGTGAAAACTGATTGAGAAGACCATCGTTGACTCAGGAACCAGGTCTCCAGAATGGGTTGCTTCACAGCCCATGGAAATATTGCTCCCTGGAGCTGCCAAGCAAGCCATGGAAAAAGTAAATTCACCTTAACATCATGCTCCTCAAAGCAAGGCAAATAAGGTTTGGATGCCTGGAGAGTGCTCTTCAGTCCTGGAACAGTCAAGTTAACTTGGGAGGGTTACAAGTGGACCCTTGAGATGACTGGAAACAGACCCCATGTCCTGCTCAGAAAACCAGACATTCCACCTTATTTGTGCTGTGCGAGTGTTCAAGATTTGGATGCTCATAGAAAGCTCAGCTGCCAAATCTTTTCAGGCCTATCTGAGCGAGCTGTCTGCAAACGTGCTGGAGAGATGAGCATACCATCAAACTTTTTCCAACCCTAAACGGGGATGCGCATGTTCTCCTGGATGAGTCAAGTGACCTATGTCTCACTTTGCCCCATGCAAAACACTTCTTGTTTTTTAAGCGAGAGAGTGCGAGAACGCGTGAGGGCTCGGCACCCAAAATGGCTGCCAAGGTCTCGCGTGAAAAACATGATGTGATTCGACAAATCCAGGGAGTAGAAGGCTACTGATAGCTACTAGCCACAATGGCCATGCTCTGATTCCATGGGAGGGGAGTGTTTGGGTCCTGCTTGTGAGTTTCCCTCACCACCGTGGTGTAGTGGTTAAGAGCGGTGGACTCGTAATCTGGTGAACCGGGTTCGCGTTTCCTCTCCTCCACATGCAGCTGCTGGGTGACCTTGGGCTAGTCACACTTCTCTGAAGTCTCTCAGCCCCACTCACCTCACAGAGTGTTTGTTGTGGGGGAGGAAGGGAAAGGAGATTGTTGGCCGCTTTGAGACTCCTTAAGGGGAGTAAAAGGCGGGATATCAAGTCCAAACTCCTCCTTCTCCTCCTCCTCTCTTCTTCTTCTTCTTCTTCTTCTTCTTCTTCTTCAGGTTGGCCACTGTGAGAGCAGAACACTGGACTAGGTGATGGTGGTGTTGGTGGTGATGGACTGGTGGCCTGATCCAGTATGCTCTTCTTATGTTTTTAGAGAGAAAACATGATCTATTATCAGGGCTTTCTGTGTCTCATGGAAATATTAACTGAACTATTACAGCATGGATTGAAGGAGATTACCAACCGGTGGCTTCCATTTTGCACACAAGTAGGATCATGGGCTTGCTCCATGTTAATAGGTGTGCACATCGTAGAAGACATGTTAGGTTAGGCAGAGAGAGACAGTGTGGCATAGTGGTGAGAGTGTAGGGCTAGGACTCTGGGGGGCAGTGTTCAAATTGCACTTGCCCAAGGAACTCCTTGGGTGGCCTTGGGCCAGTCACGGTCTCTCAGCCTACCTCACAGGGTTGCTGTTGGGATTAAATGAGGAAGGGGAGAACCATGTACACCACCTTGACCTTCTTGGAGAAAAAGGTGGGGTGTAAATGAAATACAGTACATGCAATAAATCAGTGGTGACCAAACTTGGCCCTCCAGCTGTTTTGCAACTACAGTTCCCATCATCCCTGACCACTGGTCTTGTTAGCTAGGGATGATGGGAGTTGTAGTCCAAAAACAGCTGGAGGGCCAAGTTTGGCCACCACTGCAATCAATCAATCAGTCAATCAATCCACGCTTCTCAGAATTTTGTGATGCAGTTCTCCAGTAAAACAATGTGTGGAAAAAATGCAGACGCTAAGGTTAAGCATGCATAAAAAGGGATGTAGTGAAAGGAACATATGAAATCACTTGGAAAAAGGACTTGCGTGTCGAGGTCCCCAAGCCACCCCCCAAATAACTCACAATGCACACTTAATTTTTGTTTAAGGTTTTTGGCATAATTTTGGCCACAACTTTATTTAAATACAAAACCGTGAGTGGTTGTTTAGGCATTGGTTAAGACTATCTGTCCCCCCGCCTGGGGACAGAACTGACTTCCGGGCACCACCGAAAGACAGTGCGGGGGAAAGCAAGTTGGGGAGAAATGGAGCTGAGTCACAGACCCTCAATTCTCATCCGCATGCTCCCTGAAGGCTTGCCGGCCCTAGTCCCATTCCAGGGATTGGACGAAAAGATGGCAAGCCCCAGGATTCCTTTAACGGAATTCCCTTTCTGCAGCAACCATGGAGGGGCAGGCCCAGCCTATCCTAACCCCTCCTCCACCAATTTATAACCAATGCCTAACCGCAACCTTACAAGTTGTGACAATTTGCTACGCAGTAGGCAAAAACCAAATGGCCCAGCCAATCAGCCAGATGGACAAAATTCCTACCAGGCCCCTGCCCCAATGGCAGACGACCCCATGACAGGCATAGCAAGGTCAATGCAACAACCCCTTACTCAAGGGCGGGTGGGCGGGTGATCCGTTGCACGCAGAAAAGAGAAAGCTCCAGGCTGCCTGCAGAGTATTTAAACATTTTACCCCTCCCACCAAAATTGCAACATAACTTTTACCCCAGCAACCAAGTGAACCAATCACTGCCCCAGGCCATCTTTAGAGACCCTGCCTGGTAACAGAGGGGTGGCTCAGCAGACCCCACCACAACACGTGCTCTCCATGATGGAGAACACGCTTTGTGTAAAATTGTGTGCGGCAAAATTGCATGCCAAAAAAGATGTCTGATAGGAGACACATGCACTATACTGCTGGTGAAATTTCACAATAACCGCTGCTGATGCCGAAACGTAAGATTGCATAGTGGAGAAACCGGGGGGGGGGGGGAGTGCAATTGACCATTTTGTCTATCCTTACAGATTGCGACCACTCTTAGGGGAGGGCAAAAGTTAATAATAAAAATAATAATAAATCATCGTTTTGGAAACAAGAAAACAATCCAGCACATTTGCTCTCTTGTCTTGGGCCTTCAAGATAAATGAAGTTCATGCTGTACTCAGCTGCATATTTCCAGCGTGCGGCTGTCACAACATCGCAAAACCACCTCCTTTGCTTGGCTGCCTGGCCTTCTTGGGCCTGTCAATTGCAAGGAGAGAAGTTTACCTTTCTGCTAGCACCGTCAACTTGGCATGGCTAAGGGAGAGAGATTAAACGCCGCCTCTGAGCAGACGCCGCTGGGGTGGAGAGAGGACGGTCTGATCTGCATTGCTCCATGCTGATTTTACAGCATGCGTGGCTGGTAGAACAGCCACCCTTTGACTCCTAGTAAAATTAGCACGTTGATATGGAAAGCACTGAAGGAGAATGAGCTATCCAGGCCCACTGTTTCAAGTCCTGGCTATGCTATTTGCTTGTTCCTCCCATCCATTGAGAAAAGGAATGCATTTTCCATGCAAAAGTGACTAGGCAGCAGTATTAAGAGGCCTGGGCAGCAGTATTGAACACACGCCTGGGAGAAAGCATATCAATCAGGACCATAAATGGTTGTGATCTTTGGAAAGGGCAAGGTTGACCCCACAGGATCAACAGCTGATGCACCCAGTCTCAATTACAGAGAGAAGATCGGAGTATTGCAGTTTTCTGTGGCATTGGTGGTCCTAGACTTGTAATGTTGGCTGTGCACACCATCAAAGGAGGAGGTGCTTTCTCTCTAGTGTCAAGCATTAACAGAAGCCAACAAGGCAGGTAGCTGCCTTATACCAAGGTCACATCTATACCATGTGTTTCAAGCCCTATTGTTCCACTTTAAACACACATGGCTTCCCTCAAGGAATGCTGGGAAGTGAAGTTTGTTAAAGGTGCTGAGTGTTGTTAGGAGGCCCCTGTTCAACTACCAGCTACATTTCCCAGCATTCCCTGGTAACAGGCATTGGTTGTTGAACCACTTTGGGAACTGGACAACTCCTCGAAAGATTCCATCAACGGTGTCTCCGGATAATTTTACATATCACTTGGGAAGACAGGCGAACTAATGCCAGTGTACTGGAAGAAGCGAAGATCACCAGTGTTGAAGCAATGATTCTTCAACATCAACTTTGTTGGACTGGTCATGTTGTGCAGATGCCTGATTGCCGTCTTCCAAAGCAACTACTCTATTCCGAACTTAAAAATGGAAAGCGTAATGCTGGTGGTCAACAAAAGAGTTTTAAAGACTGTCTCAAGGCAAATCTAAAAAAATGTAGTATAAACACCAACAATTGGGAAACACTGGCCTGCGAGCGCTCCAGTTGGAGAACAGCCTTTACCAAAGGTGTCATGGGCTTTGAAGACACTCAAACTCAGGACGCAAGGGAGAAGTGTGCTAAGAGGAAGGCACGCTTGGCAAATCCACACCGTGGTCAACTCCCACCCGGAAACCAATGTCCCCACTGTGGAAGGACATGTGGATCCAGAATTGGCCTCCACAGTCACTTATGGACTCACTTTTAAAACCGTGTTTATGGGAGACAACCTGACTCGGCTATGAGTGATTGCCAAAGAAAGAAAGAAGAACCCTAACAACTCTCAGTCCCCTTATCTAGAATGTGCTGCTCACCCCCATGACACAGCCAGGTCCCATTCCTAGGTCTCAGGTTACATCTTGAAATTCGAAGGCCTGACCTGGCAGCCCTACTAGTGAGATGTTCTCCAGAGAGCTCAGTGGTAGAGCATCTGCTTTGCATGCAGAAGGTCCCAGCTTCAGTCCCCGGTCGCATCTCCAGTTGGGCTCTCTGTATATCTCCTGCCCCTAACCCTGGGAAAGCCACTGCCAGTCAGTTTAGAGAATACTGAGCTGGGTGGACCAATTCTCTGACTTGACATAAGGCAGCTTCCTATGTACATGTGTAAGAGATGAACTCTGACTCAGCTGCTGTTAACGGAAAAATCCGAGGACTCCCTTGGACAAAAACAAAGACACCAACCAGGATTACTTGGAGCAAAACAGCAGCCTGTAGGCTTGGCCTTTATTGATCTGTTGCAACAGGGTGCTCCCCTCACCCGCAGGAGAGAGGAGGGACCCAGAAAAATGGTGTGCAAGGCCTTATAAAGACTTTTGAAATTGCCACCCTGTAGATCAAGACCACCCCCAGAAACATCATACCTACATCACAGAAAAGGCGGTCTAAAACAGAAATTTGAATATTGTTTTTCTCCTGTTGTTGTTTATCTCCTGCCTGGCAGGTTACTTGATTGGATTGCCTGGGGAGCCTGGCCATTCTTTTGTAGTGATAAATACTTAGTTCCTGGGCCATGCCACAGGCTCACACCCTATTCAAACACAGACAAAACCTTAAGACAGGATTTGTGAAGGAAAAGACAATGGGGAGGCTTTTCCAGTTTGACCTTGCAGAGAAAACATTTGCTCAGTTTAGGAATCAAAATGGTTCCAGGTTGGCCTTCCTGTGCTGATCTATGTATGTGCTTGGTTGGTACACTTATGAACATTACCATATATCTAAGACCATAAAATTCCTGTCACAGTGAAGGGAACCTTTGGTCCTCCAGACGTTGTGCAGAACAAGTCCCATCAGCAACAGCAAGCATGGCCAATGACCAGGACTGATGGGAGTTGCAGTTCAGTAACATCTGGAGGTCCAAAGGCTCATTCACACCTGTTCTCAACTGAATGGTTTCCCCAATGAATACATGTCAAAACATTGCGCCTTAAGCAGGTAAATACAATGCAGGTCTGCAATTTTCCTTGTTCCCTCAAACTACAAGTCATTTCTGAGGGTGGGGGAATTGAGGGGAAATTGCATTTGGGTGCAGTGACGAGGAAGCAGAGTTCTCAAAAACTTTTGACATGTCCTGTGTCTCCTCAGAGGCTAAAAATATCCCTGGTATTTACAGCAGAGTAGCCTGCCTGGTTGAGAGGGGGGGAAAAGAGAAAGTGTTTTAAAAGTGAAATTGGCTGGATTCCTTGCTAAATTGCCATTGCTATTCCTCTGTTGAGAGACGTCCTCTTCTCTCAAACATTGTGCCGTCTAAATTGGATGTTGAAGGCAAAAATGTGGGGGCGTGAAGTCACTGGGAAGAGTTCTCCCTGGAGAAATCTCCCCCGTGCTTAAGGATTCATATATTCTTTGTCTCAGTCATTTGGTATAGCAAACTGCGGGCATTTTTTTAAAATGGTCACGGAGCGGCTCCGTCAGGCGGAAAACTCTTGTGGGCTCCAGCTCGCAGGCTGTTGACAAAGAAAAGTGCCAGAGACTGAGGGAGATGATTAAGTGAAGGGAAAGATCTCTTAGGCTACAAAGCCTTAACACACTGACTAGGGAGCATCCCCCATGGACTATAGTGGGACTTACATACTTCCAAGTAGGCATGCTTAGGGTTGGCCTGTCTGATCTTTTATTTAAAAATGGCTCACATCTGTGCTATCGTGTCCTTCCCTGTTCGCAATAGCATCACAGAAACACAGAATTTGCAGAGCTGGAAGGGACCCTAAAGGCCATCTACAGCGGTACCTCAGGTTAAGTACTTAATTCGTTCTGGAGGTCCGTACTTAACCTGAAACTGTTCTTAACCTGAAGCACCACTTTAGCTAATGAGGCCTCCTGCTGCTGCTGCGCTGCCGGAGCCCGATTTCTGTTCTCATCCTGAAGCAAAGTTCTTAACCTGAAGCACTATTTCTGGGTTAGCGGAGTCTTTAACCTGAAGCGTATGTAACCTGAAGCGTATGTAACCTGAGGTACCACTGTATTCCACTGCCCCGGCAATGCAGGAAACACAGGTAAATAATTCCTGAGAGTTGGCCATCCAAACTCTGTCTAAAAGTAGCCTGTGATGGATGCTCATTCAGGTTCACTATGCAATAGACGCAGCTCTCCCTGGAAATGTAAAGAAAGGGAAGGTATCTTCTTCCACATGTGGTGGACTTGCAAAGAGGTAAAGGCTTTCTGGGAAATGGTATATAATGAGTTAAAGAAAGTGTTTAAAAATACTTTTGTTAAAAAACCCAGAAGCCTTTCTATTGGGTATAGTGGGTGAAAGGAAGGTAAAAGACTGTTTATGTATGCAACAACTGTGGCAAGGATTCTTTTAGCCCCCAAATGGAAACAAGAAGAAGTACCAACGAAAGAAGAGTGGCAGATGAAGATGATGGACTTTGCAGAACTGCCGAAGCTGACAGGAAAAATCCAAAACCAGCAAGATCAAATATTCCAAAAAGACTGGAGTAAATTCATACGATGTCTGAAAGATCATTGTGAGCAATTAACATCACTAGCAGGATTGTCTGAAGACTTGTAATGAGAAATTTTCTATCTTTCTATATTTATTTAAATTTTTGAGATATTCTGAAATGAGTGTAATTAGATTTGGAAAATGTATAAATCGCAATGATATACAGTGGTACCTTGGGTTACAGACGCTTCAGGTTACACACGCTTCAGGTTACAGACTCCACTATCCAGAAATAGTACCTCGGGTTAAGAACTTTGCTTCAGGATGAGAACAGAAATCGTGCTCCGGCGGCGCAGCAGCAGCAGGAGGCCCCATTAGCTAAAGCGGCACCTCAGGTTAAGAACAGTTTCAGGTTAAGAACAGACCTCCGGAATGAATTAAGTTCTTAACCTGAGGTACCACTGTAAAGGTTAATTTTGAAAGCCATGAGACGGGAGGGAAGGAAGTTGATAGGCTCTAAGAGCCAAGGCGGTATAGTGGATAAAGATGATGTGAATGTATAATATTAAATGGAAAATAAATAAAAATTATATTTTAAAAAATGATGGAGCTCTCCCATCCAGATTATCAAAGCATGGGAAAGCACTGGATTTAGGGAGCAGAAAGGGTGGAACAGCAGTTGTTGAAGGAGAACATGGCATGGGCAAGAGGAAAACAGGCATGAAGGGTTTGCAGTCAACACTTAGTCAAGGTGTGGCTGGGTCCAGAGTCTGGCAGTGGGACCCCTCTGCTCAATCCTAGACCCTGCCACTCACACCAGTCTGATACCAAGGGGTTTTGGATTTGGTCTGGCAGTGGGACACCTTTGTCCAACCCTACTCTCCTCCCCAGCCTAACATTAAGGGTTTGGGGTTGCTCTGTTACTTATAGATAAGAATGACGAGGACTGCAGCTTTGCAGAAATCACTCAGCATCACAGCAGTGTAAACTAGACTTCTGTTCTGCCACGGGCATCTCTCCAGCCTGCTCTCTGCTCTTCCAGTTTTGTCTTTTACTACTGGTTTAGATTCCCTCCCCCTGCTACTTTATAGCTCCAAACTCACAAAATTAATGGCCCTCAAACTTTTATTTAACTGTCAGCATACAATGGTTGTCAACCCACAATGCCTGATCTTTTAAATTTCTATTTTATAGGGTCTGCTTCTTTTCTTTCTGCCTTTGAGGGATATCTGATGTTGAAAGCTTTATTGCCAGGGCAAAGCAAAGGGGTTCACTCTCATTTGAACGGTTCCCCTCCACTGGTGACACTTCAGAGCCCTATTTCATGATGCCCTAGGACAATGTGAGAAGGGCTCAGCCAGGTGAGTTGAAGCTGATCAGGGAATGGGACGGCTGCTGACTTGATGATCAAATAAGACCCTGAGAAAGCTCAAAACTGAAAACTGGGCATTTCTTGCTCCAAGAAGAGCAAGTCTTCTTGCCCTTTCTACTTGTTCTAATTTGGAATTATAAGCCGGAAACTGGAGTACCAGCAGGGAGAAGAGAATTGTGGGCTTTCCATGGGCATCTGGCTGGGCACCACGAGAGTAGGATGATGGACCAGATGAGCCACTGGCCTTATCTAGCAGGTTCCTCCTATGTTACGTTCTTAGATGGATGCTGAGGAAAGGCCTACATCAACAGCTTTTAAAGCTTTTAGAAGAACTTGCAGAGGGGAAATGCTGTCAATGGCCATTAGTCATGGTGTCTATGTATCAGAAATTTCTACTTGCCTCTGAAGACTACTTCTTGGGGAGCATCAGTAAGATAAAGTTGATGTGCTCATGTCTTGTTTGTGGGCTTCCAAGAAGCATCTGGTTGGCCACCATAAGAAGAGGATGCTGGACTAGGGAGGTCTTGGCCTGATTCATCAGGGTCCTCTTGATGTTAAGTGGGTTCTTCTCAAGATACTTATTGTTGGTGAGATCTTCTCACAGCTCCCATGCATGTCACTAGTCAACTTACTTGGGAATAGTCCAAAAAAATCAATTCTGATGAAGAAGCACGTATGCTCTTATTTAGAGTGGTAGAAAACATAAAGCCAGGAAGTCCACTCAACTGCTCAGAAGAAATACACCTTCTTCCGCCTCCTACGAACGCAAGCATGCTTGGGTGATTGACAAGCTCCCTGGGCAATTTTTGTTGAAGTTTAAAAAAAATAAATCAAAATCGATCATTTTAAGGGAAATTGAATAAATGAAATGACTTCCATTTAAGCATATTAGGTTACGCAGCTATGGATTTCTTACTCTTATGAATGGTTATTGTCCCTGCCCTCCTCCAAAGTACACATTTCTGAGTTATGGCATGACTCATATTTTAGAGTAAACATGGAAAGGCAGAGATCTGAAAAACTCTGGATGAAGGAGGGGTGAAAGAATATTCCACTGCACTCAATACTAATGCTTCTGAACACATGAAAGTGGAGATCTGGAGAAAGGGTGTTTCAAATTCTCCTACCATTTTGGCTGATGATTCTCACCCTGCACACAGACCTTCCCCATTCCAAGATCCAAGATCCTGAACGCATTGTGTTTCTTTGGATGTAGCATGTTG